GTGGGTAGTTTTTTGATTACCACTTCAATTTCTTTGCTGGTAATTGGTTTGTTTAGATTTTGTGTTTCTTCCTTTGTCAGTCTTGGAAGGTTGTATTTTTCTAAGACGTTGTTCATTTCTTCTAGGTTTTCCAGCTTGTTAGCATATAGGTTTTCATAAGAATGGAGGATTTTTAAGGGTCCTCATTAATATAATTGTACTTCAAATCTGTTCACTCTAGAAAGTCTGAACTTGCGCAGATGAGTGGACATAAAGCTACACAGATTAAGATGAATGTCTTGTATCTATTAGTAATGCTGCCTTATTGGTTTGAGTCTGGCCATTCCAGGGCTGGCTCAACATGCCAGAAGCTTCACGCCACTTCTTAGTATTTGTACACAGACTACTTACCACAACTTTATTGAAGTCTTGGATTGCGAAATACAGGGCAATGGCAGTGAGGACATCGGTTATCTGTCAAGAGAAAGAGAAATAATAGGAAGTGAACCCAATTAGTGTTGAGTAATGGAATGCTGCCAAGGCCTGGAGTTTTTGGACAGTGATGGACTATCCAGTACTGTACTCTTAGTTAGGCAGAACCTCAACTCTCACTTTGACCACCTAAAGATAAAGCCCTTTCAGGGAGGTCTGACTAGAAATCTGGCTTACATCAGTTTGGTGTCCTATATCTGTTCTGTAACTGCAACTTATGTTTTCTGTAAAATTGGAATAATAGCCACTGCTATGCAGTCCTGATTCATATCAAGTAACTAGCACTAATCCTAAATACTAAATCCTCAGTAAGCAGTAGTCATTATAATTATTAAGAAAGACTTCAGTGAACATCAACCCTAGATTTGGCGAGGGTTTCAAATTACTGTCGTCTCAAACAGCCTTGTCATCTCAATTGTGAAGGTTCTTGCCCCTGAAAGTCTCATCCAGCCGATGTTCCTTCACAGAATCTCTTGGCAGAATGTTTAGGATATGCAGGATGCCCTCAACCCTGGCGCCACAATTAAAGACAATCATACAATCTTAGGGCTAGAAAATTCAAGACTACATAGTTCAGAAACCAAATTTTAAAGTATGAGGAACTGGAACTGGTCAGATGTCAGAGACTACTCTTTGTATTTCCCTAATACTATCACAGCTCCATGGATTTAAATTAAAGATAGGTTTTTGCTTTTATATTCTGAGAAATTCCTGAGCTCCTAAAATTGAATTTTTCTTAAAAACAAGATAAAAAACTGCATATTGATTTTATGTGGAAGGTTACTTACCATAAATACCAATTCAGCATAGTCAATCAGGAAATGAAAGAGGTATATTATTAATGGAGTCTGCAGAAGAGAAACAAACAGGTTTAATCTTACTATTATCAGTTTCCAGAATAGAGGAAGGCAAGGAGGCTACTCTGACAGCAAAAATCTTTCTTGCCTAGAACACTATTCTATGCAAGTTAGCCAGCATTCATATGAGGAAAAATAATTTAGTATCACTGGATCAGTTTGTGCCACTGGTACTATCTGCTGAATTCAGTAAAGAGAATAAACAAAATCTGACATGTGTTAAACATCTGTTGAGGAGCTTTTTAACCACTAAAGGTATGAGGTAAATTTTAGTTCTACAACATATATATTAGCCCAGGGAACTCCACAGTGGACCAAGATTGCTGAACTCATAAAATAAACTAAGACGTGTTTTCTCTTCTTCTGTTTTCCAAGATATTTTATATGACTAATGTTATTTCCTCCTCAAAGACTTGGGAAAATTCACTCATTGTGAAGCCATCTCAGCCTGGGTTTTCTCGGTGAGAAGATTTTAAATCTAAAATTCAATTTCTCTCACAGATAAAACACTTCATACTTACTATTTTTTCCTTTGCTATTGGCTATTTTTTCTTTCTTTTCTAGGCAAGTTGTGGTTTGCTATTTGTCCATTTCATATAAATTTTCAGATTGGAATAAAATTGTTCATATTATTTTAATTCTTAGTGTCTGTAGGAAATGTAGTAATGTTCCCTTATTTATTCCCAATATTGGTAATTTGTACCATCTCTTTTGTTGTCTTTTATTTAACCTATTTTTTTAATCAAAATTTGCCAGAGATTTCTCAATTTTAGTCTTTCAAAGAACCAACTTTGGGCTTTGCTAGTAATATAATTACATATATACATATATACATATATATATGTATAACTTTTTCCTTTTTCATTAATTTCTGAACCTTATAATAAAACATACAATTCTTCCTTCAACATTTTCTAGGGATAATTGCCTTTTCTTTTTCCAGTGATACCTAAATTACTGATTTTTAGACTTTCTTCTTTCCTAATATATTTCTGTAAGGCAAAAAATTTCCCTCTGAATATTGCTTTAGCTGTACCACACAAGTTTTGATATGCTGTTTTTTTCAGTGTCATTTAGTTTAAAATATTCTAATTCCCACTGAGATTTCTTCTTTGAGAAGTATACAGTGATTAATTTCTAATTATTTGTAAGTTTTCTTTTATACTGGTTGTTTATTTCTAGCTTAATTCTACTGTGGTCATAGGAAATACTCAGTATGATTTCATTAATTCAGAATGTGTTCTCACTTGCTTTATCGTCCATCATGTGGTTGGTCAATTTGGGAACATTCCATGTACACTTGAAAAGAATGTGCATATTAACATTTATAGGTGTAGCATTCTATATATGACATTTAGGTTAAGTATGTTTATTATTTACTCAAATCTTTTTCTATATCCTTATTGATATTTTTTAGTCTCTTAGTTTTATCAGTGACCAGAAAAATTATGTTAAAAATCCCCCTCTATGCCTAGATTTGCCTATTTCTCCTTCTACTTATGTCATTTGGTTATTTATATATTTTGAAGCTATGTAGTTAGATATATTTTTATGTAGAATTACTATATCTTCTGGGAGAAATTATCTTTTTATCATTATAAAATAATCCCTTCTACCTCTAGTAATGTTTTTTGCCTTAAACTCTGTTTTATCTGTATATTTTTTATCTGATATATCAGCTTTTTTGGGGTTGATATTTATATATCATTTCCCATTTTTTTACTTTCTATTTTTTTTGTGACCTCATATGTAAGATGTGTTTCTTAAAAGTAGCATATAGTTATTTTTCTTTACCCAACCTGAAATCATTATTTTTATTGGATTACTAGTCTATTTACATTTAATATAATTACAATAAATTTGTGTATAAGTTTACTATCTTATTATTTTATTTTCCATTTATTCCATGTTCTCTATGCCACTGTCTCTTTCTTGCTTGCTTCTGTATTATTTTTCATTATTCCATTTTCTCCTCTACTAGCTTGTTGGCTTTATATGTAGAGACTATGCTTTTAGTGATTAATCTACAGATTATGATGTGTACCTTTGACTTTAGAGTATAATATGATTACTTTTACTAATTCCAAGACAATATAAGGACTTTTGAGCACTTTAATTCCATATAGCTACTCCAAGCCTTTACTGTTATTAATGTTATAGCTTTAATTCTATATATACCTTAAGCCTACAAGATATCATTATTAGTTTTATACAGTCACTATTGATTTAGATTTATCCATATATTTGCCTTTTTCATTGTTATTTTTCCCTCGTATATTCCATCATGCTATTGAGAATTATAATCCTGCCTTTTCGTATTTTTTAAAATGCAAGTCTCCTAGCAACAAATTCTTTCATTTTTTATTTGCCTGGAAATGTGTTTATTTTGTCTCACCTCTGAGACATAATATCCATGTTGGCTGCTTTTAATATGCTTTTGATTTTGAGCAGTTTTATTATAATGTATGTTTTTCTTTGAATTTATCCTGCTTGGGTTTATAGAGCTTCCAGAATTAAAATATTTCACGAATTATGAAAAAAATTTCAGCCACTAATCCCTTCAAATATCATTTCTGAATTGTCTCTTCTCCCATTCTGCAACTCCATTTGTATATGTGTTAAACCTTTTTACCATATGTCATAGATCTCTTAATTTTTTTCTGTATTTTCTATCCTGTTCTCTCTAAGCTTCAGTCTGCATATTTTCAACAGACCTATCTTCCATATCTTTGGCTTTTGTAAACTGCTATTAAACTTGCTTATTATACTCTTAATTTATTATTATGTCTTCTAGTTCTAGGATTTCCATTTGATTTCTTATTAAATATTCCAGTTCCCTGGTGAAATTCTCTTCTTGTCACCTATTTTTTTGAGCATATTAATCATCTGGATAAAGTGTAGGTTCCTATGGCCAGAATCATCACCTGAACTTAACCTGCTTCATGATGTAACTGGCCTGCTGCTAGGCTACTGCTTCCATGCCCACAGACAATAAGCAATTATTGACTCAGTCACTATATAAAGAGCTGAGCTCTGCCCAGTGCTCTGGGCTGAGGCAGAGACGAAGGAGGATTACAGACCTGCAGAATGTTGGATGCAGACATAATTCTAGTGCTCAACCTATTGCCAGGAGAACAAGCCAGGTAATAAACCCTTTCACCCCAAGAATGTTATATTGTCATTGCTTGGTCTCACTAATCCACACTGAACTTGCTTGGGGCTGAAACTCATTGGAAAGACATCACCTTATCGAAGTTATTTTAAAGTTCAAGTTTGATAACTCCAATTTCTGCATCAGCTGTGAATCTGTTTTTATTGTCTATTTTTTTCCCTTTTATTATGGTTGTAATTTTTAACTGAATGACAGACATTGTATATGAAAAATTGTAGGGGTTCTGAATGAGGCAATTTTCTTCCAGAAGGATATCTTTAAACTTCTGGAAGCTATTGGAATAGAATTGTTTTACCATAATCTAATTAGGGGTTTAATTAATCTAATTAGAATTGTGATTCAGTCTTTGTAAGACTAGTCTATATTTGAGCTACCCTTACTCCTTCAGTGTAGTCCTTTAGAAGACCTAACTCAAAGCCAGCCCTTTACCAGAGCTCTACCACTTCACTTGACCAGACACTTGAATTTGTACTTCCCCAGCACTGTAGACTGCCAGTAACTCTGCATAGCTTCTTAACCAGCCAATTTCTGTTCTCTTTCTCTCTCCTTCAGCCTGTGCCTGGACAGTGACTGTAATGGGGTATGTGGTGGGGACATGATAATAGGGGGAGTCTAGTAACCATAATGTTGTTCATGGAATTGTACATTAATGATAGCAAAATAAAAAAAATTTTTAATGTATATTTTAATTTAGAATGAAAAAAAAATGCAGGACACAAGTTTCAAAAAGACATACACACCCCTATGTTTACTGCAGAACTATTTATAATAGCCAAAATATGGAAGCAACCTAAGTGTCCATCAGCAGATGAATGGATAAAGAAGATGTGGTACATATACACAATGGAATATTATTCAGCCATAAGAAGAAAACAAATCCTACCATTTGCTACAACATGGATAGAGTGAGAGGGTATTAAGCTCACTGAAATAAGCCAGGTGTAAAAAGACAAGTATCAAATGATTTCACTCATGTGGAGCATAAGAACAAAGCAAGAACTGAAGGAACAAAACAACAGCAGACTAACAGAACCCAAGCATGAACTAACACTTGCCAGAGGGAAAGGGACTGGAGGCAGGGGGGAAGGGAGGGACAAGGGGGAAAAAGGGGCATTATGCTTAGCACACATAATATAGGGGGGGCACAGGGAAGGCAGTATAGCACAGAGAAGATGAGTAGTGACTCTATAGCATCTTACTATGCTGATGGACAGTGACAGTAATGGGGTATGTGGTGGGGACTTGATAATGGGGGGAGTTTACTAACCACAATGTTACTCATGTAATTGTATATTAATGATAACTAAATAAAAAAATAAATAAAAAGAAAGAAATTTTTAAAAAAAGGTCTTCTTTAGACACAGAGGCACTGAACAACACATTAAAAGAGATGGACCTAACAGACATATACAGAACACTCCACTCAAAAGCAGCAGGATACACATTCTTCTCAAGTGCACATGGAACATTTTCAAGAACAGATCACATACTAGGCCACAAAAAAGAGCCTCAGTAAATTCAAAAAGATTGAAATTGTACCAACAAACTTATCAGATCACAAATGTATGAAACCAGAAAGAAATTGCACAAAGAAAACAAAAAGGCCCACAAACACACGGAGGCTAAATAACAAGCTCCTAAATAATCAATCCATCAATGACCAAATTAAAACAGAGATCAAGCAATATATGGACACATAAGAAAACAACAGCTCAATGCCCCAATTTCTGTGGGACGCAGCAAAGGCAGTTCTAAGAGGAGAGTACACGGCAATTCAGGCCTATTTAAAGAAGTAAGAACAATCCCAAGTGAACACACT